AGAATTGTTCAGAAAGTGAAAGAATCAAGGTATGTGTGTTTGAAGGAAGAGAAAGTATTTTAGGTGGATTAACGGTAATGTGTCTGTTATGGTAAAAAAATTGTTTTAATTTGAACATTCTCTGCATAATGCAATCACACCTCATATACATAAGGAGTAACTGGAGTGAGCAGGAGAGTAAAAATGGAGATATGGTGGTGGTTTCCTTGTGGTGACAAAAATGAGTCACGTGCTGTAATTGTGGGAACCATCTAGAAGACAACATTCCAGGATGAACAGGTCTTGTGTGTATTGTGGGAATGGAACATGTTTAGAAATTTGACCTTCAGAAAAACACACACCTAAATTCATAATATAGCCACGTCACAATTTATACACAAATTTTAGTTTATTACTAAAAATGAGAGAAAAACAGGTGTCTTCATTTAGAATTAGATAGCTAATGCCTAAGATAAACTTTATGTTGAATCAAATGTTTTTTCTGTTTATGACTTTATTCATAATTAACACAATAACATCTTTTATTTTCAGATAACAGGGTTAAATAAATCAGTAATCTTATTATTACAATACATCATCATCATTTACATGTTAAGTGTATTTAATAAGTAACCCTATTTGAATTCATGTTCATTAGGAGTAATGATAGTTTTCCTTGTTCTGCCTTTGGGTTTTATTTTGTGGTACCGGGGATCGAACTGGGGACCTTGAGCTTGCGAGGCAGGTGTTGGAACCACTGAGCTAAATCCCCGGACCTAACTAACCCTATTTGAACAGTAGCTTAGAAGTGCCTCACATACACTTCTAAGTGCAGTGGGGGATATTGCTGCTCACAGGGATTATTAATAAAGGCCAGGATTGAAGTACTACTTCCCAAATGTCTCATGAAGGAGATTACCTTAAGTTGGTGTTGACATGGCTTTGATTATATTCAACTGGCAGATACAATTGGTTTAATTCAGAACTGGTCTAAGGCATAAGTGCACAGATTAATGGCTTCAGCTGGTGTGCAGAAGGAGAATGCAACTGCCACTGGCCATGGCCGAGACTAACCCAGGTTAATGGCTCTGTGGGGCCCGTATTAGCTGAGAGTATCTACAGCTGAAAAGCCCATGGTTCTTGCTCAACCTGTATAAGAAGTTAATTTTAATATAAGGGAAAGAACAAGTTCCCATTAACCTAAGATTCACTTCTTGCAAGAAAGCTTTGTTCAAGCAGAGAAAGACCCAACCGAAAAAGAGAACTATAGGCCAATCTCACTAATGAACATAGATGCAAAAATTCTTAGTAAGATACTGGCAAATAGACTGTAGAAGATCATACACCCTGACCAAGTGGGATTCATCCCAGGGATTCAGGGATGGTTCAACATATGCAAATCAATCAATGTAATACAGTATATCAATAGAGCCAAGAACAAAAGCCATATGATCATCTCAATAGATGCAGAAAAAGCATTTGGAAAATCCAACATGCATTTATTGATAAAAACCCTACAAAAAATTGGAATAGACAGTCTCTACATCAATCTGATCAAAGCCATCCATGAAAAACCACAGCCAAAATCATACTAAATGGTCAAAAACTGAAATCCTTCACACTAAAATCAGGAAAAAGACAAGGATGTCCACTATCACCACTCCTCTTCAATATAGTTTTAGAAACATTAGCCATGGCAATTGGGCAAGAGAAAGAAATAAAAGGAATAAAGATAGGAAACGAAGAAGTCAAATTGTCATTACTTGAAGATGACATGATTCTCTATATAGAAGACGACAAGAACTCCACCAATAATCTTCTAGACTTAATAACCAAATTCAGTCAAGTAGCTGGTTACAAGGTCAACAAACAAACATCAATAGCTTACCTCTACACAAATGACAGACTCACTGAGAGAGAAATAGGGCAAATAATTCCTTTCACAATAGCATCCAAAAAACTGAAATACCTAGGAATCAACCTAACGAAACAAATCAAAGACCTCTTCTCTGAAAACTATAGCACTCTGAAAAGAGAGGTTGAAGATGATATCAGAAAATGGACAGACATCCCCTGCTCCTGGGTAGGAAGGATTAATACAATGAAAATGGCCATACTTCCAAAACTGCTATATAGATTCAATGCAATTCCAATTGAGATCCCAGCAGCATACTTCACAGACCTTGAGAAAACAATACAAAAATTCATTTGGAGCAAGAAGAGACCCAGAATAGCAAAAGCAATTCTAGGTAACAGAGACATGGCAGGCGGTATCACAATCTCCAACTTCCAACTCTACTACAAAGCTACTGTGGTAAAACAGCATGGTATTGGCAAAGAAACAGACCTGATGACCTGTGAAACAGATCAGAAGATGCAGAAACAACGCCAGACACACTCAGCCATCTCATCTTCTATAAAGAAGCCAAATACCCTCACTGGATGAAAGATAGCCTCTTTAATAAATGGTGCTGGAAAACTTGAGTTTCAACTTGCCAATGATTAAAACTAGACCTATATCTCTTCCCATGCACTAAACTAAAATCAAAATGGATTAAAGATCTAAATATTAAAATAGAAACTCTGAACCAGTTGGAACAGAGGTTAGGTAGAACTCTTGAAGACATCAGTGTAGGAAAATATTTTATGAACAAAACTTCAGTTGTCCCTGAACTAGCACAATCAACAAGTGGGATCTCTTCTTATTAAAAAGCTTCTGCACAGCAAGAGAAACCACCAGCAGTGTGAAGAGACAACCCACAATGTGGGAAAAAATCTTCACCTGCTTTTCCTCAGACAAAGGTCCACTATCTCGAATCTATAAAGAACTTAAAAAGAACAGATCTCCCAAATTTAAAGACCCAATCCAAAAATGGGCGTCTGAAATGAACAGACATTTCTCAGACAAAGAAGTAGAAATAGCAAATAAATCCATGAAAAAATGTTCAACATCACTAGTCATTCGAGAGATGCAAATGAAACAATGCTGTATAACACCTCACTCCAGAAATCATGGCTGCTATCATGAAATTAACCAATAACCAATGCTGGCTGGGCTGTCGGGAAAGAGGAACCTTGCTCCATTGCTGGTGGCAGTGTAGACTGGTGCAAGCACTGTGGAAATCAGTATGGAGATACCTCAAAGAACTAGGACTGGAAGACCTATTTGACCCTGCTATTCCACTGCTAGGGATCTTGCCCAAAGAATTAAAAGAATCCTACCACAGTGATATATGTGCACCCATGTTCATGTCAGCACAGTTTGTAATAGCTAAAAGTTGGAAACAGCCCAAATGCCCACAAACTGGAGACTGGATAAAGAAAATGTGGGGCTTTTTTATAAAATGGAGTACTACTCAGCCATAAAAAATTAGAAATTAGAGACATTTATTGCTAAATGGATGCACACTGAGATGATACTCTTAAGTGAAATAAATAGGACATACATGTAAATACCAAATAGTTTCTCTGGTGTGAGAAACTGAAAGTGTAAATAAGGACTAAAAAGTATAATAGGTAATGTGAACTAGGAAGAAAAGGGGCAAAGGGGAAGGGGAAGTGGGAGGGGTAGGGGAAAGGAAAGAAGGTAATGGAAGTAATATGAGAAAATGAAAACCTGGAAACAATGTCTTTGTAAATAGGCAGGGATGGAGGGGTTGAAGGGAGGGCAGGGGAAGTGGGAAACAATAAGAACCAAGAGAGATTATGTAAAGGTGCAAATTTCCAATGATGAATGTCATTATATTTTATACCTAAAATGTAACAATAAAAGGATATACAGTTTTTTAAAAAAGAATGCTTTGTTCTGTTTTTGCTAGGCCTCACCCATGTCAGTACTTCTGATAATCACTCCACATCCCTGACCATATGCTCACCCCTGGTGCTTTGTGCTCAATAAAGTACTGGCAAGTCTGAAGGTTCGGGATCTTTGCTCACTATAAGCTCTGACCTCCTGGGCCTCATTTCTTCTACTATTTATCTTTGTCTTCTTTCCCCATAGCATAACTAATTGGGGGTCAGAGGCTTTGTTGGGGGTCCCCAATACATCAGGTGAAGCCAAGGAAATTTCTCCAGACTCCTTCTTTCTATACTTTGTGGTCCTTGCTGCTACTCAGGATCATGGGACACATGGGACAGCACTGGCACTGTGTCCTGGCTACACTGTGACTTTGCTGGGTAACAGATTTTGGAGAGAGGCTCATGCCATAAGAGTGTCAATTACTCCAAAATGATCCACCTAACCTTCCATGGAGTCTACTGGCCTGGGTAGGAATTGTCACAGAGAGTGGCAGAGGATCAGATACATGGCAGGATGGATGCATCAACATTGTCTGAATGTCTTACCAGCAAGAACTAATGTGACTAAAGTTAATAATCTTCTGAGAAACAGTGGAGCATGTGAGGCTCTGAGATTCTAGAATCAGTGAGAGGAAAAAGTGCTTTTATATCCAACCAAAAGTAAAGAAATTTTTTAAAACATAAAATATTGACAGGCAAGTGTGAGAAAGGAAATACAAACCCAGTTACCAAAACAAAGTTTAATCAGCATATTTAAGGCACACTAATTCACGAAGGGGAAAAACATAAGGAAATACATCAGAAATATAATGATCTGCAAACAAAAGTTACCATATAAGTAATAAAAGTGATTGAGAACAACATGTGGAACCCAAAATAAAAGCAAGTAATATAATCAAACTTAAGCAAAAATATAAGGATTTATTGCAGAATTTACAAACAAGAAATTTCCAGAATAAAATTCAAAGTGAAAGGTGATACAGATATTAGTAACATTAAGATTATTATAGAAAAAAGAGTCAGTTGATTATTGAATTAAACCCCAATTTTTAATCTAATAACTACGTGAAAAAATTATGCAGAATTGCCTTAGAGGCACTATGTATTTCAGGAAGCACATTTTTTTTTTTTGTAACTAATAAGGTTGCTTTTTGACAGAATGTGTTTCATCTCTCAACCAATGCAGAGAATTTCTTTCTGGTCTAAACAAAGTAATGTAGCACTTAGGGGCAAAGATGCACTCCAGCCCTGCACTGGAGGCCAAGATGGAGAAGACCTCCATGGCCACCATGACCTTCCCCTTGGTGCTATGGTACACAGGGAGGAATGTGATCCACACACTGCAGAACACCAGCATGCTGAAGGTCAGGAACTTAGCTCCATTGAATGTGTCAGGCAGGTTCCTGGCCAGGAAAGCCACAGTGAAGCTCACCAGGGCCAGGGAGCCCAGGTATCCCAGGACACAGTAGAAGGCAGTGAGTGAGCCCTTGTTGCACACGATGATGATGTGGCCACATTCAGATTGGGCATCTGTGTCAATGTAGGGTGGATTTGTTCTCATCCAGACTCCACAGAGAGTGAGTTGGATGAGGGAGCAGATGGGGATGACGTAGTTAGGTGCTCCTGATACCAGCAACTGCCTCATCCTTCTGCCTGGAGCAGTGACCTTAAAGGCCAGCACCACAGTGACAGTTTTGGCCAAGACAGTGGAAACAGCCACAGTGAACACAACTCCAAATATAGTCTGCTGGAGGATGCTGGTGGCTGTGTTGGCCCAGCCAGTGAAGAGTAAGGAGCAAAGGAAACAGAAGGTGAGGGAGATGAGGAGGGTGTAACTGAGAGCCCTGTTGTTGGCCTTGACAGTGGGAATGTCTCTGTGCTTCACAAGGAGCCCAAGAACAGCAGCTGTGAGAACGGTGAGACTCAGGGCAGTGTTAGCCATAGCCTTCCCCATGGGGTCTTCATAAGCCAGATAAGTGTCAGACTTTTGGAGACAGTGGTTTTGCTGAATTGTGGCATACTGATCATCAGGACACATCATACACTGCTCCATATCTACTGACAATGTGAAATTGTTATTAGTTCAAGTTCCTTATTTCTCTCCCATTCACTCACACATTCACAGACTTTCACAGGATTTCTTGAGCCAAATTGTCCTTTTTCTGTTTCTATTTTATTTTTGTTTTTCATTTAAATTTTTTTCTTCCATTTTAGGTCAGATTATTGAATTCAGTACCTTTGTACTGAGCTACTTCACTACTCCTTTAACTTTTTTTTTTAAATATTGAAATACAGTCTTGTTAAACTTACTGACATTGCCAAGGCTGCACTCAAATTTATGATCCTTTTGCCTCAGCCTCCCAGAGTGCTGGACTTCCAGGTCTACACTGCCATGTCCAGCTTTTCATTTGATTTTCTAGACACCAAGGAAAGGAATGTTATATTTACAGTATCTTTCAATTGATACTGGGCTTTTCTTTACACTTGTCCACTTCCACAAAACATTAAAATATCTGCCTATCAATAGAAAACCTTTAAAAGTCATGCTTTATAGATTTATTCATTGAACAAATGCTGGAGAAACCTAAATAATTGACTAAATTCTAAGGATATGATAAATATTAAAATGTCCATTAGAATATCATCTCTCACCCCATGAAAGCTTGTTGTTTTCATGAAAACATCTGTTTGAATTTGCTTAACAATTGGATTGAATCTGTAGAATCAATTGTAAAATACTGACATTTTCCCATTGGTGACCATTTCCATCCAAGAATTTTCTTCAATCAATTACTTCAATTTCATTGTTGGAAAAACTTTCTATACTTAAATGTTGCATCTTTCAGAACCCTTATTAGTTTTATCTCTATCTACTTAATACTTTAAGATTTATTAAGTGTTAATTTACACAATATTATCTATGAGTGGTTGATAACTGAGCTGCAGAGATAGGTTATTTTTCACCTTAAATTATGTTCCATCAACACTAAATTCAATCATTAATTTACATGGGTTTTATTCTTACACCCTAACAGCATAAGATAATTACTTCAGATGTATTCTTCTTTCCCAGTACATGATTACTTTTATATGTGTTTCTGAGTGTATTTTATCATCAGGGACAAGTAGCATAATGTCTCATAGAAGAGGTCATAAGGAAAATTCTACTCTGATTTTTGCTTTAGAAATTTAACCACAAAATGTGTGGTTTACTTTAGGTTTGTATAAATGTCATTTATGGATGTAAATAGTTTCTTCCTATTCTTAATTTATTAAATGTTTGTAAGTCAAGGAAGGGATTTCACTTTTAGTATATTTTTCTTCATTAATTGATATTATTTCTCTTTTCACAGAAGTAGTGCACTAAATTATATATCATAGACTGAATTTGGTCATGGATTCCCTCCTTAGAATATAAGTCTAAATTTGGAATAGAATAGGCCAATTTAGTTCCCCAAGGAAAGTGGCCTGTAAACTTAACATCTTGTAATGACACTGTCAGCTATGGATAACGTAATGCAGCTTTTCTCTCTCTTTCTAAAAATATTAATTTGTACATGTTTACAGTACATAATGAATATATTCACTGTAGGAAATCAGTACTTGTACTTAACACATCTTAATTCATTTTCCTCCCCCCTCCCCTCCCTTTTTATTGTGTTAGCATCTGATTCATTTTTTTATTTTATAAATTCTTACATAGTTAATTATACACACTGACAAACAGACTAATAAGCCAAAAACCACATAAGACATATAAGGCAATTATACTAAATCAAGGAACACTTATTGATACACTATCCATGTTGGATTACAATAACTCTATTTCTCTCTCTTTTTTCCTCTTCATTGTCTTTTATTTGTTTTTTTACATGTTTAGTTTTTCATAGAAGAGAAACTATACAATATTTATGGTTGTGTGTCAGACTTACTTCACTTAACATTATGATCCCAATCTGCATCCATTTTTCTACAAATGACTCATGTTTATCCTTCTTTATGAGAGAGCACTACTCCATTGTGCATAAGTACCACATTTTCTTTAGCTTTCCTCTTAACAAAAATTATTGTCCCATTTTTCATTTTCTCTGAAGGAGTTTAAGTAAATCATTATTGGCATGCTTTTGAATTCATTGATATTTCACCACTGGTACATTTTTTCACTTTTGAAATCTCACAGCATTTATTTTCATTATATTTTATTAGTGCCTATTAATTTTACAAAATATTGAGTTTCCACGTGGTATTTTTCTTCGTGTGCATAATATATTTTGTCTCTGCCTTATCCTCTCTTACATCACATCCCATTTTCTCTTTTCTAATAACAGCCCCTCTTCCACTTTCATGCCATCTGTTTGGATTACACATATCAGGGAGAGTCTTCATGAGTCTGGATTATTTCACTGAACATGAGGATTTCCAGTTTCATTATTTTCCTGAAAATGACAAATTGCATCTTTCTTTATGACTGAATACTTCAGTATTCATATATACTGTCTTCTTCATCTACACACCTACCAATGGCAACTTAGGCAGGTTTAATATTTTGCCTATTATACATAGTGCAAAGTGAGCATATACAGGAAGGTATCTCAGTAGAATGGAGAGTAATTCCTTCATGTATATACTATGATTAGTGTAACTGGGTATATGGTAGATAAGGTATTTTTTATTTTAATACTTAATACAAATAAAAGTTTTGGGATATATTAAGCTAAGGTCTCATATTTGTTAGTAGACGACATTTTGTCATCATACAATCTGACCAAGTGGGAATTCATCTCAGGGATGGAGGGATGGTTCAAATGCAAATCAATCAATGTAATACACTACATCAATAGAGCCAGGGACAAAAACCATATGATCATCTCAATAGATGCAGAAAAAGCATTTGACAAAACTCAACACACATTTATGGTAAAAACCTAACTAAAAATCGCAATAGATGGTCTCTACCTCAAATTGATAAAAGCCATCTAT